CGACACCTTGATCCTTGCCCTTGAAATTTTTGCTGCCTCCGTTCGATTGAAATTGCCCATGTTTTTGCGCTCCTTGGTCACTTGTATTTTTTACCCATCGATCACCGTGTTCCGCATACCTCGGACCAGCATGTTTATGTTCCGTCGACGACGTGTAATGTTTTTTACGAACTTGTTGACTTTTTTTGTTTTTGATCCAATTTACTTGGTCTGTCTCGTTGACCAAGTAAGTTTCTTTTGCTAGTGCAATTTCGACGATTTGAGAAAAAGTTGTTTCACTGGTTGGTTTTTCCTCACAAATTCTGTCTTTAATTTTTCCCGATTTTAATCCGAAAACAAATTTGTCGATTAAAATACCTTCAAGTTTGTCACCACCAAAATTGCAATTGGTTGATAAATTTCTGATTCTTGCCGTAAAATCCGCAACTGATTCTCCTTCCTGCTGACTGGCCATATAAAAATTATTTCGCTCCCGGAAAACGTTTATTTTCGGAGTAAAATGATTTTCCATCAACGTGCACAATTCTTCAAAACTTTTATTTTTTGGTAGATCTGGTGTACACAAATCCCGTAGTAACTTGTACGCATCTTGACCAATACAGCTTATGAATGCCGATTTTTTTAAATCAGCCTTAATTTTATTCACTTCCAAAAATTGTTCCAACTGTTCCTGATATATTTTCCAGCTGTCGACATCGACGTTAAACTGTGCTAAACTGCCCATATATGACGTCATCCTTTTATCTTCGTCGCCAATGTAGTATTTACATATATATATTAAATAACTAAACAAATATACATAATATACATACGTTTATTCATTACATAACTTAACAGTAGTTCGCGACGCAACTTCGCAACAAACACTGATAGACCACATATTATATTACTAGCCACACGGGTCGGTCGCGGTACACCATTATCGATAACGATAATGACGCTACAGATATCACACATATGATATATTATATCTTTATGTTTAGTTATTAAAATTAGTTTTGCTTTGCTCGGGCTTATCAATGTGATAACATTCGTGATAATAATATATTAATTGTATTTTTGAGTGGCTAGAGCACTATATCAATTTTTTCGTGATTCATCAGTTTTTGACGATCGTATATGTATATAATGAAAATCAAATCTACGTAAAATTTTGCAAGTGTCAATGACGTGGTAGTGTCATGGTAAAATTTCAACCAGTTTTATACTACCATTTTTATTTTTTATGTGAACCCTTTCGCTACATTTGTATATATACGCCTAACGCATGTTTTCACACTCTCTTTTTTTTTTTTTACATAATATACCTATGCCTTATAATAAATTTACAATATAAATCCACATCATACTCATGTACGATATTAGTGTTCCGAAATTATTCTTCACCCGTTCCGTCGTTTGGATGTCATCGGTCACGCTAGTACTGAAACAGGGAGGTCTGTTATCGTGGTCTGTCCTTGGATTGGTGCAAGCTGTACCGCTATAACCTCAGCGTTTCGGTCGTGAACGGTCTTGATTGATCCACCATAATATGTCTTGGATTCGAGGTTTATGGTTCTGTTATAGTCGCCTAAATTTGTAAACTTTCTCACTCTTTTTTTTGCTTACACTTTTTTTTGTGGTTGTTATGGAAAAATAAAAAAAATTAATTTGGCCTTATGCTAAAAAATAAAAGTACATAGACGATTATTTAATAATATTACTCTTATTGCACTATTCTATCTCGACACCTTATTCTTAAATTTATTAATTAATTACTATGCATGAAGGTAAAGTGATATCGTAAGATTTTTTACGTACTGAAAGTCGTTAGAATGCTATACGGGCAACAAAATTTGATAATGTACTAGAAAAAATTAAAAGTGTTGTAATTGTGCTTGCTGTACATAACTTAATAATTGAGGTATGATATTCTTATTGTATTTCCTTTTAGTATCTATTTTATTTTGCTGATTTTTGATTTACTGAGCTACTATTTTATTAGTACTTCGTAGACTATTTCGAATATTGCAATTCAACATTTGCTTGTGTTTACCTTATTAATTGTACGTGTCTCATTTAAAAAATGTATATACATGGTATTCTTAATATATATTTACCAAGTAAAATTCAAATTCACATTTTTATGTGTTGTAATAAAAACATTTTGTATGTTTTCATTAGGCAAGCATATTCGATAATAATTTTATTTCTTTTCCCACATTTATTATACGTTATATTTATTATATTCATTTTATACAATAATTACAATTATTCTAATGCAGTGTTTAACGTTCTTTATACTTTTTAACTGACTAACATGTTTGTATTCGTTTACTAACTGTCCATTTTTAATTATTTCTACTACCAGGGCTCGGAAGTTGTAGCACTAAAAATATTACTTTTTAGCTCTTAAATATGCACTTAAAAACTCCAAAATATGCGCTATAAATAGCACAAAAATCGAAAAATATGCATTTAACTTGAAAAAATTAAATGTACTTTTACAATTTTATAAAATTGTTGGTCCCATAGACGTCATGGACTGTCTGAACTAGTTAAATTATAAACTTGATTAACAAATATATTGAAATGTTAGTGTACTTATAAGGTCTATTTATTTCCTAACCAATTTAGTTAATCATTATTTTCATCATAATGTGATAATATCCTATATTTTGTATAATATGTAGGTACCTATATATTATGTATATTATGAAAATATACCCAAAAATTGGGCTATAAACCCTAAATTAGCAAAATAGCCATAAAAACCGTAAATATGCAAAAAAATAGCAAAATACAATTTCGTGTATATGGCATCAGAGAAGTGTGATACATATTTGTATCTTACTTTGGATGTTCTAGGACGAACCAAGAAAAATATGCATTTGCTAGAACTTCCGAGCCCTGTACATAAGTTACATCCGATACTTGCTTCATTATTTTAAACGGGCCGTTGTACCTGTAAGCAAATTTAGATTTTCTATTTTCGTCTTTAATCAGTACTTTTTCATTTAATTTAAATTTTACCTGTACCTTATTTGAGTCATAATGTTTTTTATTTTTTAAATATCTGTCCGCTAATAATTTTGGGAGTTCGTCTCGAATATTTTTTAATTTTTCTAATTCCAGTAAAATTTCGGGGGATGTTTCTGTACTTATAAAGTTGTGATCAAATATGGATTTTGGATTATATCCGTGTAATAGGTAAAACGGTGTGTTTTTCGTTGTATCATTAATTGCTGTGTTATACGCAAATAGTACATATTTTAAGTATAGACTCCATTTTTTTGGTTGTTCCTGTACAAAGTGGCTAATCATATCTATCAAAGTCCCGTTGAACTTTTCTGTCTGGCCTTGGCCATATCTGGCTATATCTGGTTCATTTGTTTTAGAGTTACATTAAAAAACAAAATCCATTTTGTGGAAAACCGATTTTACGTAAAAATTTAAGTTTTTCCTTAAATTTTTATGTGGTTTTTCCCGTCGCTTTTGAAAACTACTGGGAATTTTAAAATTTTACCTTCTGAATGCAATAACTAGATTCACTTTTTCATCAAACAAGATACTGTTGAAGAAAACCGAAGCAGTTTTACTGCCCTGAACCGTGATGACAGACACAAAATTAAAAAAATTAATTTAAAAATTAAAATGAAAAAAAAACACACAGCATTGTAAAATCAATACATTCATCGTTTCACTCAGAATCTAAAATATACAAAAGTAGGTTATGGAATCTTTCGTTTTTATAGTTAGGTCATGTTTAAAAAACAGCAGAGGCAGAATGATCAAGATACGGTTGTATTTGCTTATTTAATTAAATAATATTGAAAAAATATACTAAATACAATTTAATTAAAATGGATGTGAATAACAAATAATAATAAATCTTTATAAAAGTAACTTTAAACTTAAATGTATAGCATACTTCAAAATAACATTAATTTATTAAAGAACAATGTTTGATGTTAATCACTGGGGAACGACGATCAAGATAACAGAGAATTACGATATTATACTAATATAACTCACCCGCACTCTATGCGTTCACTGCGTTCACGCGTAGGACATAGCGTGATATATATGATGCATACTAAAATCAACAGTAACTACAAAAACAGTGTGACTACAGTTTGGGGCAACAACCAAATAACTCCGGAGTTATCAGGTTGTTTCACCAAAATCAAAAAAAAAGATAAAACCAATTTCGTTATAAAGGATATATATGTCACACCACATAGTGAAACCACTCATTTCATGAACTGGATAGCCACATAGTGAAACCACTTGTTCGCGCCCACCAATAGGGGGGCTAAACGAAGGACCACTCGATAACAACCGAGACGAGATTATTACTATTAGTGCTTTTTTAAAAGGTGCCGACTAACAGTAATTAAGCAACCGAATATGCCTACGCCTTATTGTTTGCGGATAGGCAATTATAGTTGCACGACGACGATAAGGATGGGACAGACCTATTTTTGGAGTTAGGATGATGCAGTTTAATTATGGGGAGGGGTCTCTGTGATCGATTCTGGTATGGTGCAATGATCACAGAGCTCACAATATAAGGCCAGTACTTACAAACTAACTTAAATATTACGGAAGTCCGGAGACGGTGATACGCTGCCGAAGACGCAGCTCGGGAAACTGACTCTCGACGACCTGGGCGGCCTCTCACACAACGTACGTTGCTGGCGGACTTACGCGGACGACTCGCTCATTATGATGATGATGATAATAAGAATAATAATAAATGACTTACTCATTCAGTTTTGGGTATGAGATCGTGTTTTATTGAGATTGTTGTATAACAGCGACACAAAGTATAATACAGTGAGCAACCAGGTGCACATTGCAGTAATAAATAAATTAAGAATAATAGATTTGGTGCTCACTGCCTCACTGTTGTAGTGAATAATACATAATAAGAAACAGATTGCTTTAATAGCGGATCAAAAAACACAAAGGCGAGACACCTCGGCGCGAACATCACCGCCCACTTTGAAGGAATCCCTTCAAGAGATTGGGAGTGGACAGAGTTTGACAGCTGGGCGTTTCAATGGTCCAGATGAAGTGTCGAGGGTGGCCACTCTGGAGATTCCGTCTGAGCCAGGATGGAGTTCACGAATTCTTCCAGTTTGCCAACGAAGAGGATGTGTCGACTCCCTGACAAGGACAAGGTCACCAATACGGAGTTCCTGACCGGGTGCAGACCATTTTTTCCTAATTCGAATGCTACTAAGGTACTCGTTCTTCCATCGTGTCCAAAAATGTCGGTGTAGATCTGTGATTAATCGCCATCGTTGGTATTTCGACATCGGAACATTGACTAGACTTGGGTCAGGAAGTGACGTCGAAGGTTCTAGAGTCAAAAAATGACTAGGTGTCAACGCTTCGAAATCATCTGGGTCGTTGCTGAGTGCACATAACGGGCGTGAGTTTAAGGTCGCTTCAACCTGGGTGAGCAGTGTTAGGAATTCTTCACTGGTCAATTTGTGGATGCCAATTGATCGAAGGATTAATGATTTAGTGGACTTGACTCCTGCTTCCCATAAACCACCAAAATGTGGAGATGCTGGAGGGTTGAAGTGCCAAGTTATATAATGATTGGCAAGGTGGCGATGAACACTGTCTTGAAATAGTTGGGAATGCGTAAGTTCATGAAGGGGATCCATCAACCGTGACGCTCCAATAAAGTTGGTCCCGCAGTCACTGTGCATTTCCTTAATAGGCCCACGTCTGGCTGAAAACCGAGTAAATGCCATCAAAAAACATTCGGTGGACAAGTCAGAAGTCAGTTCTAAGTGAATTGCTTTTGTAGTGGTGCATACGAACAAACAAAAGTACGCTAGTTTAGGTACTGATTTACGACCACGAGGTTCCTTCAGCGTGATAGGACCAGCGTAGTCCACACCAGTGATGGCAAACGGTTTAACTTGTTGAACTCGATAACTTGGCAGACTGGCCATTTTGGGCTGAACTGACCGTGGCCGGGTACGGAAACATGCGACGCAGAGTCGTATACGAGATCGAATAAGTCTTCGTGCCGATGGTATCCAGAATTCAAGTTGCAAATGAGCTTGAAGGGCTATAGATCCTGGATGTTTTAGCCTGTGGTGATGATGGTCAATGAGTAACATGGTTAAGCGATGATGACATGGTAACAGCAATGGATGTTTGTGAGCGTATGGCAGGTCAGCGTTCGTGAGACGTCCGCCCACTCTGATAAGTCCATGATCGTCAATGAACGGATCGAGTTTCTGAATGGCGGGAGAACAACGCAACCCTTTTTTTATGGACGAAATGTCATCGGGGTATGACGTTTGTTGAACGTAAAAAACTAGGGCCGATAAGGCATGGGACCGTTCCCTAGCATCAATAAGGTGTGTGTACGATGTACCTGGACTTGATTTGGAGAACCGAAGACAATAGGCTATAATATGAAGGACCTTGTCTAAAGATGAGAAACGTTGTAGAACGTTACTAATTGAGCAGTTTGTCGTAGTTAGGAGGACGGTACATTTTCGCGCTTCTGTGGAGATGTGAGCATCAGTTGTATTTGCACGGGATACAGCAGACGGCCACTTGTCAGAAGATTCTAGTAAATATGCAGGTCCTGTCCACCACAACGGATGAGTAGCAAGTTCTGATGGAAAGAGTCCGCGAGACGCACAATCGACTGGATTTTGATGTGTGGGGACGTGGTTCCAAATGTCGGGTGACGTAAGCTCGTGAATTTGGCTAGTGCGGTTAGCAACAAACGTAGCCCAACGATGAGGAGATGACTGTATCCACGCTAAAGCGGTGGTTGAATCTGTCCAGGCATGGAATTTATCGATTTTGATACGAGTTGAATAGGTATCGATGACGAACCGTAGAAGTCTGGCAGCTAAGACAGCTCCACAGATTTCAAGTCGCGGAATCGTAGACCTTTTTAGAGGCGCCACTTTCGACTTGCCGGTCACAAGGTGACAATGAACTGAGGTAGAAGTCGTGGTTCGAAGGTAAACGGCTGCAGCGTATCCTTTTTCCGAACTATCCGAGAATGCGTGGAGTTGTATCGATGTGGCGTCATCAAACGTTATTCGACGAGGAATAGAAACGGTTTCAATTAACATCAGCTCTGACTGATATCGTGTCCACATTACAGCGATATCCTTTGGTATATCTTCATCCCATTTGATTCCAGCAATCCAAAGTTGCTGCATGACATGCTTGGTCCAGAATGTTATTGGCGACAGCAAGCCTAACGGATCAAAAATCCTAGCAATGTCTGAAAGGACTGTACGTTTCGTTGGTGCGACTGCTGACGGTTTAGCTTTGAAAGAAAAATTATCAGCTACCGGGTCCCACTTCAGCCCGAGTACCTTCAAGTCGGAATGGTCACTGCTGTCGAAAAGGACAGATGGTGAAATGGCACGGGCTTCTTCTGGGACAGTTTGCAGAAGTTGACTATTGTTGGTGGCCCACTTTCGCAATTGAAATTGCGCCATAGCACACAAGTTTATTAATTGGATTTGGCATTCAAGAGCAGTTTCTGTTGAGTTAGCTCCGGTCAGGATGTCATCAACAAACGTGTCATTCAACAACACAGACGCAGCTATCGGCCATTTTGCACCATCTACAGTCGCTAACTCGCGGACAGTGCGAAGTGCTTGGAAGGGAGCTGAAGAGGTGCCGTACGTCACTGTACATAACCGGTTCTCGTCAATCGGAGATGTGGACGAGAATCTCCACAGAATCCGCAAATAATCTCTGTCAGCTGGTCTGATGAGAATCTGGCGATACATTTGCTTTATATCAGCCATAAATAAGTATTTCCAAAGTCGAGCACGGAGGAGAACAACTTGTATGTCAGGTTGCAGTTTAGGGCCTGTGTACATACTGTCGTTTAAGGATATACCGGCTGACGTTTTTTCAGATGCATTGAATACAACCCTAAGATTTGTAGTCAGGCTATCGGGTTTAAGCACGCAATGGTGTGGAATATAATAATGAAACGGATGGCCTTGTTCAGACGATGGAATCAACTCCATATGACCAGCCGTCAGATAGTCGCGCATGAACTCGGCGTATTGATCTTGCAGGTCTTTGTTGCGGTTGAGACGACATTCTAGGGCCTTGAACCGTTGCAACGCTAACGTTCTCGAGTCACCAAGCAGTGGACGAGGTTACAGAAACGGAAGAGTGACAACAAACCTGTATGAACTTAAACGAGTTGTAGTAGAAGTATATATTTTCTCAGCAGCAACGTCAGCTGGACTCAAATGGCAAGCGGTGGGTAGCTCTTCAAGTTCCCAGAATTTTTTAATTAACGAGTCAATAGGTTCAGATATATTTACGCTAAGTGTGGCAACAGAAGAGCGGTCATAAAGTTCCGTAGGGCCCATGAGCACCCATCAAAAAACAGAGTTCATTGCGAGAGGTTCGCCAACTTGACCCTTTCGAGTGCCATCAAGGAACACTGAAGGTAATAGATCAGCTCCGATTAGTAAGTCGATTGGGCCAGGTGTATTATATGATGGGTCAGTCAGCGAGAGACTATTAATGTGATCCCAGTGTCCAAACGTGACCGGAATTTGAGGAGTAGAAGATCGGAATTGACGAAGCATAAGAGCACAAGCAGCTCGTTCTGTGATAAAGCTAGCTTGTGAACCAGAGTCTAATAAAGCTCTTAACGCGTGTCGCCGTCCATCGGCAGCATAGACGTCCACTACTGCTGTTGACAATAGAACGATGCGCTGAGGTTGTCCTCGAACAAGACATGAGGTAGTCGTAACATGTGACTCAGCCCCAGCACAGGCGCTGCCGTCTTAGTGGATAATGTATTTGACGATACTGAACCGAAGGTATTTGGTTTATTAGCAGTAGGATTAAAGTGCAACAGCGAGTGATGACTTTTCCTACATGACTGACATGTATAGGTTGAAGGGCATCGCGCTGAGGAGTGACCTGTCCCCAGACAATTTATACACAAACGATGCGTTTTTGCAATATGAAAGCGTTCATTTGGAGGCTTGTCAGTAAATAGGGTACATGACCTTATTGAATGAGGTGCATTACACAGTGGACACGGCTTGACGGATGAAGTACTCGAAGTGGTGGCTAGAACGCTTGAAGAACAGCGAGGGTTGAAATTTGATTGCTTAACTGACTTGTGCGGTTTCGATGCACTGTTGTGTCGGTCAGATGATGAACAACTGGAATAAATTTCCGCAGACCGCAGATGAGTACGCAAAAAATCAACAAAGTCAGAAATTTGAGGATAATGATTCTCCCCAACGACCAATTCCCACCGAGCACGAAGTTCATAATCAAGGTGTTTTTCAACGATGTGCACCAGAAGTGGACTCCATTGACGCGTTACAAAGTCAAGATTGTCTAAAGCAGCAGTGTTCTCTAAGATCGTATTGATCTGAGTTTTAATAGAGGAGCCATCATTGGACTTAACAATCTGGTTAGCGAGCAGAGCATCAAGGTGAATACGAGCAAGATCACGGTTATTGCCATAACGTGAACGCAATATTTTCCACGCACTAGTGTAATTTGTAGCCGTTAACACGAGATGGGAGATATGTGATAGCGTTTCACCCTTAAGAGACATCTTCAGAAATTCAAACCTCTCAACGTCCGGCAGTTCAGGAGCGTGCGATAGTATGGAGTTAAACAAATCGTCAAAGCCCTGCCACTCGGTCATCTCACCGGAAAAAAACAGGGAATGTACGCTTAGGTAACTGAAAAGCGGATAATTGATGTTGACCACTGGTTTGATTTGAAAATGATGAAGCAGCTGCGTCCATCGAGGATGACATTGTCAACTTGTGAACATCAGCGAACGCAGCCAGTTCATAATAGAGACTATCGAATGACGTGATAAGAGTTTGACTTTCACTATTGCCAGTGATCTCAGCAGGGGCTGTGTTTGAATTAACGGCTGATTCCATTCGTTGGACATCATCCTCAACTGCGTTACGAAGAGTAACAAGCTCACTAATCATTTTGGCAATTTTGGCTCGTTTACCAGAGTTTGTACGGTCATTATTGAAGTCAATAGAAGCTTGGGCAAAGGATTTCAATTTAGTAACGCAGCGAATAATGCGAGACTTTGCGTCGTTGTAAATAACGTCCGCCATTGTTGTTCGAAATTATTTGATGCACGTAATGAGATTGTTCGTGGAGAACAGGTACGTGGACTATATACAGGTGAGATTCTTCTCTAACTTCTAGGTCCACAACAATTCGACGACAGTACAGATTTTAAAGATGTAGGAACTAGTTTGTGTCTTACAATAAGAATAATATCGACGAAGAATAATGATCATGGACAACAAACATGGTTCGTATACATAGTCGTGGTTTGTATTAAAATATCCGGCCCGAAGGACCAACAAATGTTCGCGCCCACCAATAGGGGGGCTACCCGAGGGACCACTCGATAACAACCGAGACGAGATTATTACTATTGGTGCTTTTTTAAAAGGTGCCGACTAACAGTAATTAAGCAACCGAATATGCCTACGCCTTATTGTTTGCGGATAGGCAATTATAGTTGCACGACGACGATAAGGATGGGACAGACCTATTTTTGGAGTTAGGATGATGCAGTTTAATTATGGGGAGGGGTCTCTGTGATCGATTCTGGTATGGTGCAATGATCACAGAGCTCACAATATAAGGCCAGTACTTACAAACTAACTTAAATATTACGGAAGTCCGGAGACGGTGATACGCTGCCGAAGACGCAGCTCAGGAAACTGACTCTCGACGACCTGGGCGGCCTCTCACACAACGTACGTTGCTGGCGGACTTACGCGGACGACTCGCTCATTATGATGATGATGATAATAAGAATAATAATAAATGACTTACTCATTCAGTTTTGGGTATGAGATCGTGTTTTATTGAGATTGTTGTATAACAGCGACACAAAGTATAATACAGTGAGCAACCAGGTGCACATTTGCAGTAATAAATAAATTAAGAATAATAGATTTGGTGCTCACTGCCTCACTGTTGTAGTGAATAATACATAATAAGAAACAGATTGCTTTAATAGCGGATCAAAAAACACAAAGGCGAGACACCTGTTAGAAGTAGATGATACACGACAACAACACAGCATACGATAATATAATAAAAACAAAAACAGGGGCGTTGGACGTATAAAGTAAACAGAGAAAAAGAAGATATGATTATGACACAATGATAATCATGCCCAAAGACAGAGGATAGACAATAATAATGGACAAAGAACATTGATAATTATAATGAATACAAAAAATAATAATAATACACATTTAAATAATGAGAGGTGTCGGTGGAGCCGAGAGATGATAAAGAACGGAACGGTCATCGGAGCGGCACAACGATAACGATATCGTATCGCTAATTACTAGGCGCGAACACCACTCATTTCATGAACTGGATATCCAGATAGTGAAATTCGTCCAGATAGTGAATTTTGACGAAAATACATTATATGGACATCCATTTCATGAAATGGACAATACCTATATCGTGTACTTTGTGTAATTATTATTACATTAAATTAATTATTATTTATGGTTCATAAACTATCATTATACCTGTATAGTGTATACGTATATAATATTTAATTTTTCACGATTGATTAATATGTAGGTAATTTTCTATATTGTTCTATACACAAAAATATAGCAATTATAGTCAATAAATTATATCATATTACATTATATTAGATTCTGAGCGAAGCATGGAAGCTATAGTGGTTTTACAATGGTGTTTATTTTTTTTTTTCTTTTTATATCCTGTATACAAAATTTCTACCAGAAGGAGTGCTTTGATTTCAACATATAGTACCTTATCTTTTAGCAAATTGGACCAAGATGACCAAGACCTAACCTTTAGAGAGGTCATTTTTCGATTTTCTCAATAGTTATTTAATGCCACGGGAAAAAGTACTGAAAAATTACGAAAAACCGCTTAAAATGGGATTTTAATTTCTAACAATTTGTTTATCACCGTAGCAACGAATAAAAAAAAATAATAATAAAATAAATAAAATAATTAATGACAATATAAAATATACAGACTGACAAACCGTCTCCGTTCAGAATCGTTTTTCTTATACAATGATATTATATCATTGAATTCAAGTTTAATACAATCCATTAAACAATGACCAACTTGTAACCTACTGTACAGCTGAGCGACATCCACTTACCTGCCTTTTTTATTTTATTTTTCATAAACCATACGTAGGTATATTATATTTTATAAACAACAGTGTTACCTATGTCCTATATTAAGTGTTATAAAATATTAATGAAATTAACTATAATTATAATATTTAACTACCTATATTTCTCTATTGTTTTATTACCTAACAAAATAATTAATTGATTAACTTAAACATACCTTAAACGGCTTAAACTTTACATACATTTTTTCCTTATTATTTATTTTTACACGACGATTGATCATGACATCGACTGTTACATTGCATATTATTTTTAAAACAAGCACACCTACTTGATTGGCAACGATTTTTTTCAATTGGTGGTCTTGGTACATAATACGTATCATGTAACGCATTCCGTAATTTTACATTACCACCATGGCCTGTCCTAATATGAAATTCTTTGATATAATAAAATAATAATTACACAAAGTACACAATATAGGTATTGTCCATTTCATGAAATGGATGTCCGTTTCATGAAATGGATGTCCATATAATGTATTTTCGTCAAAATTCACTATCTGGATATTCAATTCATGAAATGAGTAGTTTCACTATGTGGATGCGACATATATATTTATCGAAAATAACTGGTTGTTGCACCAAAATGTAGATAATTTTTTCCAACACAATAATCCAAGAAAATGTGCATTTTCGAAAAAAGTGGACTTGTCTCGTTGTTGCACCAAGCCCTTCAATTAACATCGAAAACAACTCTCGATTTATTAGGTAAAATCACCTTGGATGAGTCTCAGACTTTAAATAGTTAAACTTCTGTAACGTATGTTACATCATTACGTTTATTTTATAAGCATCATAATATGCACATTAGGCATATTATGCGCTGACTGTAATAATATATTAAGCCCCTCCGGTTTAGGTGACACATATATATTTTATGATTGTAAGGCTCCGGCCAATATCCCTATGTAAGAGAATACCAGTTCTCCGCGAGTCCATCACGTGCACCTGAACTCCGTACAATAATACATTTTTGGTAACTTTGTTCGTAAATTGTAAGTTATAATAAATAATTTGTTTATATTAATAATAATTTAGATCAATCGTTATTTATTTGTAATATTAAGATCCTAATACCATTCGTGCTCCCGAGCTACGGTAAAAATATATTCAAAAGAATTAATTTCTTCCCTGAATATCTTATATTTAACGGGCCATCCCCGACCACGTTACATATTGGTGGAGGCGCCGAAGCTCTTAAGTAGTTGAAGTTACAGATATTTACGATTGGTTTAGATTTTTATTTTGTTATTAGTTATTAAGTTTGGTTAATTGAAGCGTAGGAAAATAATAAAATTAAAGTGTAGCCGTGTTAAGAATAATTGAGATTTTTTTTTATTATTTAAGATTAATGATATACATGATATATAATAAGTATTAAGAATAAGATTAAAAGAATTGAAAGAATTACGGGATTAGAAAATTTATGTATAGGTACCTTATAATTTTAATTTTCATTTAATTTTTTTTTTTTTTGGATATTTACGAGATTTTGTGTTCTAAGAATAGGAGTAAATTACATATAGGGGTTATGTTATCGGAGAAATTATATAGTAAAAATAAAAATTAGGTAGTTGAATTTTGTTTGGATAGTTACGAGATTTTAAGTTTTAAGAATAGGAGTAAATTACATATAGGGGTTATGTTATCAGAGAAATTATATAGTAAAAATAAAAATTAGGTAATTGAATTTTATTTGGATAGTTACGAGATTTTAAGTTTTAAGAATAGGAGTAAATTACATATAGGAATTTTGTTATCAGAGAAATTATATAGTAAAAATAAAAATTAAGTACCTAATTGAATTTTTTGTATGGATAGTTACGAGATTTTAAGTTTTAAGAATAGGAGTAAATTACATATTAGTACATAATAGAGAAATTATAAGAGAATTATTTTATTGTAAGTGAACATATTAAGCAATGTTTCGATAAATAAAAGTATTTAATGGACAACAAGTTTTACATAAAACGTAACGTGAACAACCAAATAACAAAAGTGGATAGAACAAATATATTATATCTGAATGAAACTTTTAATTCCGAAATAAACGAAATTAATCTAATAAATTTATTACGGCAAATCGAAGAAGTCGATTTAGGCAACTATTTTTCAAATTCCAGGTTTGGAAAGATACCTCTGTCAGCAAAACTTGTTCAAAAATTTACACTGTGCTCTCTATACGTAGTTGAGACTTTAGAAAAGGAAGATTTTAACCAATTACCAGCACAAAAGAAATTTGAATTTATAATTTCCCAGCGAACAGTTGCGTGGATAAATTTATTAAATAAATCGGAAATAGTGGGTTTCTTAGAATTTTGTAATATACATAGTGACATTTCATCGACAATTAATGAATTAAGAAATCTTGCAAAATCAGCATTAAAAAGTTTTAGGAACGACGAAGACGACGCTGAGGATAGCTTAAACGAAACAGAATTAACTTTTACAGAGGACAATTTACAAAATAGTGATCAAAATTTATTGAACGTAACTGTTGTTGAAGACGATTTTAATAAAAAAAAAACTGAACCAGAAAATATAGATATTAAAAAAAATATATTAACAGCAGATCCTATACATTTCAAGGTAGAAACCCACAATAATACTTCGGGTGAACAGATCAACACTAAGAATATTATTGAAAAAAATTCAAAAAAATCTTTAAAAAATAAACAAAGTATAAAAATGGCGTTTAACCATAAACCCGATATTTTCTCAGGTAAAGAAAACGAGGATATTGATAAATTCATAAAAAAATTTGAACTTATAGCTGTCGTGAACGAATGGAACGACGAACACAAAGTAATTATTCTACAACTATATCTTAAGGACTCAGCAGAAGATTTTTTTGAACAACTAAAATCAAAAAACGGAAATATAACATGGAACGAAGTCAAAAGTGAATTAATAACAGAATTTACATTAGTAGGAAATAAACACTTACTAAGGGCAAAATTGGAAAATCAGAAACTAGCAAAAGGAGAAACATATAAAGAATTCATAATTAAAATAGTAGGCATATGTTATAAAATAAACAAGAATATGACCGAAGAAGAAATTTGTGAACACATTCTAAAAGGAGTACCCAAAGAAACCTTTCAGTTAATAAGGTTAGCAGATAATACATCGATCGCAAGCATCAAAAAACTCTAGAGAAACTAGAAGTAACAAATCTATTGAGAACGGAGGACAAGGTAAATGGAGAAGTAGAGAAATTGACTAGAGAAATGGAGGTTTTAAAAAATCATATAAGTCAAATTAAAGTTGGACAAACCCAAAATAACATTCCCAATAGTATCAACAATTATCAGAACGAAGAGCAAACTAGCTATAACAATGGATTCAACTTTTATAATAGAAATCAACACTACCAACCACCTATATTTAATAATCAAAATGAATATTATCAAAATAATCCAAGACCAAACTTTTATCCGAATTACAACTATCTCACACATAATAACCAGATGACAAACACCCAGTTTCCTAGACCAAACTTTTATCAAAATTATAATTATAATAATACAAATAATAACCAATTAGCCAACACACTACGCCATACACAAAGTAATCAGGCAACAATTCCCCATGCTAATTATAATTATTTAAATCAACAAGGGCCACCGATATGTTTTCTGTGTGGAATGCCGGGACACATAAACATAGGCGCAACTAGGGGGGTGCTAGGGGGACTTTAGCACCCCCAGACTAAAAATTAGCACCCCCAAAAATTCAAAGTCAAATCCTTGATTTGTAAGCTGTAGGTATTTCATTATTGTACCTACCTATTCTGTTCAAATTTTTATTTTAGAATAATTTATTTATATTTAATGTTTCGAAGATAGTTATATTAGATGACAACATAGTTTGTCATGAGGTCTACAATATAATATCATGATAGCCGATAGGTAAGGTATATTGCATTGGGAATTTGGTTGTGTTAATAGTTATTTTTAAACTGTTATATCTACGTAATCCGCTACCCGTATGTTTTCCATTATATGCGTTATCGTTATAAATTATAAATATAACTTATAACATTACACAACAGTCGACGAGACGACGACACACGTTATACAGACATACAGTACCCAAAACTTGAACTGCCAACAGGTAACAGTATTCCGTCTCCGTAAATCTGAATTGATAGGTATTTAAAATGTTTAGTATTTTTAAAAAACGGAAACCTAAAGCTGATATTGACGATCCTGGCATGGTTGACATTTCTACTAATAGTACTACTCATACAAGTGATACAACTCTTGATTTGGGAGATTTGGGAAATAAAGATTCCGGCCCATGTCGTCCTATACTTACAGTAAGATTTATTCTGTTTACATATAAAAACTTAATAATTCGTTTTATGAGTTTTTTTAAATAAATAAAATAAAATAATAATAATAAAACTATAATAAGGTGTTTAATATTTTTCTGATTAATTTTATTATTATTTATTAATTAGGAATATAAAAAAATTAAATTTGGAACACAACAAAGATCGTTTCGAAGCCAATGGTACAATGAATGTGATTGGCTAGAATACAGTGTTCAGCGTAACGCTGCATTCTGCTTTGTTTGCCGAACTTTCGGTTCAGAAAATTCAGGTGAAAATATATGGATTAAATCTGGGTTCAATAAATGGCAAAAGGTAAGTAGTTTATTTTGAAGTGTAATAGTATATGTATTTTTACAAATAAAATAATTAAAAAATAAAAATTATTCAAAAACTTAAACTTCGCTAGAATAACTTAGTGTGTTAGACGTTAGTATTGAATACTAAATTTGTATCATGATTAATATAATCGACCACATTTTTTTCAGTTTCTTGTAAAATCAAAAAAACATTCTTCTACCAGTACTCATTTGACTAATTTATCAAAAATGTGTGCATATAAAAGTAGTTTAAAGACAGGATCTGTTGTGACACAACTATCTAGCGCTCATAAAAAACAAGTTGAAATTAATCGCAAATACATGTCTAGTTTAATTGATGTTGTGTTATACCTTGCTAAGCAAGGCATAGCATTTAGAGGACATAATGAAAATTTAGATTCTTTAAATCAAGGTACATTTAATATTTATAATGTTATTATTTATTAATAAAATTAATATTTTCTTGTAATAATATAAATACAATTTTAGGTAATTATAAGGAAATGTGCCATATGGTATTTTCAAAGTTCATGCCAGATTTGAATAATGTATATGAGAATAAAATTAACCATACCAGTTGGAAAGTGCAGGACGAAATTATTAAAATAAGTGCTGACCTAATTAAAGAAATTATTGTTGAGGAAATTGTTGTTTCTGGGAATTTTGCACTTATGGTTGATGAAGCCAGGTACAATATATTTCACCATTGTAATATTTATAATAGTCATATATACCTATATTTTGATCAAATTAATATTTTTTAAATGTAAATATATATTTGTCCACAGGTCCCATAAAGAAGAACAGTTATCTGTATGTGTGCGGTATGCTGTTGGTCTTGAGGCACGTGAAAGATTTTTGCAATTCATAGATGTTTCTAATGGACAAACTGCCAACCATATTATTTCTGCTGTTTTTAATTGTTTTCAAAATTTAAGTATTAATATCAATACATTAAATATTGTTGCTCAGTCTTATGATGGTGCCAGCGTAATGGCTGGACACCTTGGAGGTGTCCAGGCAAAAATTAAACAACAATTTCCATGTGCCATATACACACACTGTATGGCACACAGATTAAATTTGATTGTTGTGGATATGTGTAAAGGAATAAAGGTATTAATTAGTTTAAGATAATAAAAATAATAATAATAATAATAAAATAATAATCAAACAATAATTCATTGAAGTATTTTTAACAGAATGCCTATAAGGCTATACCTGTAGTAAAATAATAAAATTTTTATCATATAATTATATAATCTGTATTAACATTTATAGAGAGCTCGAAGTATTTTTAATACTTTAGAAATGGTTTATGTTCATTTCTCTCGACCATCCAACAATGCTAAACTCATTGAAGTTCAATCTAAACTAGGTTTAAAAAAAGGAAATGTTCTCAGGATATGCGATACAAGATGGGTATGTCGCTATAAAAATTGCGAGTCGATGATAAAAAATTACTCATCAATATTAGAATTTTTAAAGAATGAAGTTGAAGCACAAGTGGACAAAGATGCTATTGAAGCTATCGGTAATTGAAAAAAAATTATGTAATGTAATTATAATTTGATACATTATTTTTAATTGTTGAATTTTTTTCTTAATTATAATTTTAGGTATTCTCGGTCAAAATACAAAACTGTGCTTTTTTTATTGGAGTTACTCTATTGAAAGACATTCTTGGTATCATTAATATAATAAGTGTCACATTACAATCTAAAAATGCCACTTTAGGAAAAGCAAAAAGCATTATCAATGGAAGTATACAAAGTATTGAAAAATTACGTTCTGACATTGAATTTTCTACATTTTGGCAAAAAATTACATCTTTAGCTGAAGAGAATGATATAACCCTTGAAGTACCACACAAAGGTAAATATTAGATTAACTGTAAACCTTTGTAAAATCTAAAGGTTTTTCTTAAATAAGTTTTAACTTTATGTGTGAAATACATTTCTTAGACATTCATATGTAATAATTATTAATTAACAATACCATCAAAACAAAATTCATGTTCACAAAAATCAAAATTTAAATACATATAACAGTAATTTAATTTTAAGTTACTAATAAAAAATGTATTTAATGATTAGGAAGAAAACGGATAAGAACTCAACCGAAATCTTTGAACAATTTTTACTTACAATTAACAACTGGAGAAGAAAATGAACCAAATATTACACAATCTGTTGAAGACTATTGGAGACAAAATTTATACTATCCAATAATTGATTCTATAATCGTTAATTTAAAATATAGGTTCTCTGAAGAAAGTTTATCTATGGCTTGCTCCGTTGATAATTTTATGAATATGAACTATGAAGGAAGCTTAGAGTTCATAAATAACTATAAAGTAAAATTGATATAATATTAAATACAATTTCAATATTGAATTCAATTTTTTTTTCAGTAGTGTAGTTTAAGTTACTATAACTTTAATATTTTTATTATTTTTACTATTCAATTTCAGAATGTGACAAAAGTTTCAATCGATTTATTAAAAGCTGAAATGATGGTTTTCAAAAACTGTTTGCCACCAGATTTCAATTTTGATGACATTAAAGGAAAAATAAATAAAGAAGCTTTTCCTAACTTGTATAAGCTACTTCAAATTGCAATTACAATCCCAATAAGTTCTGCAACTTGTGAACGTAGTTTTTCTAGTATGAGACGTATCAAAAATTGGCTAAGAACAAGTATGTTGCAGCAGCGCTTTAGTGACTTGTCAATTTTAAATATTGAGAGGGATTTATCAAATAAAATACAAACGGAAACAGTGTTAGATAGATATAACACAAAAACCAGGAAAATTGTTTTAAAATAATAGATTATAATATGTTATCTAAATAGTTGTTATTAGTTATTGTAATTAATTATTAATTATAATGTTTTTAGTGATTGTTCCTTAATATTAATCATTATCAAAATATCAAATGTGTTATCATATAAATTAATATAAATATGAAGTTGAGTTATAAAAGCATGTTGTTAATAGCTTTGAAGTTGTGTGTTGGTGGGGGAAGCCCCCACGGGTTACCAAGGTATACTAAATTTTAGCACCCCTTAAATTGCAGGTCTAGTTGCGCTTATGCACATAAAGAGAAACTGTAATACCTTTGTACAAAAAAACTAATAGTTCCGCAGATAACTGGGTCTGCACAGGAACACCAATACATTACCAGTAAGATACCTTTAAATATCGTCAAAAATACAAATACAAATAATACCATTTATACTTATTATGATAATAAAAAAGAAAAAATCAAAATAGAAATACAAGGAAAAATAAATGACCAAACTACTACGTTATTATTAGATACAGGGGCGAGCGTAACTGTTATAAACAAAAATACTATTAAATGTAATAAATTAACTTCCGAAAGCGAACTCTACCTTGAGACGGCGAACAATTCTAAACTCAACATTCTAGGAACAACTGTGGCTCAGATAAAAATAGGAACGATAGTAATAAATCATAAAATAATAATAGTTGACAATCTATGTTCACCAGTAATAATAGGATTGGACATAATGAAAAAAATTAACACAATTTTAGATTTAAAAAATAATTTAGTAACGTTTAATTATAAAGGAACTGAAGTAAAATTAAAAATAGAGCAGGAAGACAAACCAAGAAATACCTTACAAGACACAAACAATATTACACAAAATAAGCAAAAAAATAATTTTCAACAATTTCTATTACAAAATTCAGAAACGTATAGAACCAAATGTAGATACCATGACATTATAGGTAATATATTCACTGAACAAATAAATGATGCCATTGCACATTGTGTCAGTAAAGACTTCAAAATGAAGGCAGGGATTGCACAACAATTTAAAGAAAGATTCGAAGATGTAGACGTATTAAAAGCACAGAATAAAAAACTTAAAGAAATAGCATTTTTAAAGAAAAATAAACAATGGATTTTATATTTAATAACAAAAGACGCATATAATGATAAACCCACCTATGAAGACATTTTTAACACACTACAAAATTTAAAACAGTTTTGCATAAATCAGTCAATACATAATTTGGGATTACCCAAGGTTTGTTCGGGGTTAGATAAAAAAGAATGGGACTTAATTTCAAAAATGATTAAATTCACGTTTCAAAATACAGATATTACAATAAGAATTTATGAATTAGAGCCCGAACATAAAATAGAATGCAAGTCAATAGCAACAACTCCGGAAAAAAGTGATTCATCAACAATAAATATAAAATACGACGGAGTGGATATTACACAAAACGGATTTGATGAGTTAACACATTATGTAGAACAAGAATTTGAAAACATGAATGAACATTTTGCTGACACAATATTACCTCAGACAATATTACAAAACACACTCGTAATAAATAACGAAAACAATAAAACAATATGTAACATAACAAATTTAATAGATAGTAAAAAAATTGAATTTGATATTAACCCTGAATTGGAAACAAATCAACAAGTAAAACTAAAAAATATATTGATAAGATTCGCGGATTGTTTCGCGCAACATGACATGGACCTAGGATCCATTGATATTGGAGATATACCAATACCCACATTAACTGATGACCCAGTAAATTTACCACCATATAGATTGGCATTATGCGAACAAAATGAGTTACAAAGACAAGTCAACGAACTTTTAAAAGCAGGTTTAATCATACCATCTAATTCAGCATATGCTAGCCCTACATTTTTAGTTAATAAGGCGGATAAGACAAAAAGATTAGTAATCGACTATAGACAAATAAACAAACAAGTACCTCATCAGAATTTCCCAATCACAAATATACAAATAATATTCGATTGTCTAGAAGGGTCGAAATATTTCAACATAATGGATATGCAGCAGGGATTTCTGAACATTCTACTGGGTAAAACAGACCGATATAAATTAGCATTTATCACCCCATTTGGATTATATGAGTGGACAAGATTTCCATTTGGATATAAAAACTCTCCAAGACAGTTTTCTAAAGCTGTGGCTACTGCTCTCTCTGGACTACTTTATTTGGGCACCATTAACTATGTAGACGATATCGTAAATTATGCAAAAACATTTGAAGAGCTACTTATAATTTTAGAAAAACTATTAGAACGAATTAGAAAAACAGGGTTTAAATTGAAACCAAAAAAATGTAAATTTGGATATTTTGAGTTGAAAATACTAGGGCAAATCGTTAATCAATATGGAGTCAAGCCAAATGAGGAGGGATTGGCAGCGATAAATAAATTTCCTATTCCAGAAAATATAAAACAAACAAGAAGTTTTTTAGGTTTATGTAATTTTTTTAGAAAGTTCATACCAAGATACGCTGAAATTGTAGCGCCTATAACCGATTTAACTAGAGGCCACTTCGAATCAAAAAAATCTCCGGTAAAATGGCTAAATAAACACACAGAAACGTTTAAAATACTTAAAGAAAAGTTAACAAACCCACCGTTGTTAAAACATTTCAGCCCAAACCTACCAATAGTCGTATGGACCGATGCGAGTAAAATAGGAATTGCAAGTGTTTTATTACAAAAGGACGAAGGTGACGAATTATTACATCCCGTATCATACATTTCTCGACGTGTCACTGCTACTGAGGAGAAATATAGTGCAATTGAACTAGAATTATTAGCAATAGTATATGCGCTCGAAACCTTTAGACCATATGTATACGGCACACACATAGAGATATGGACAGACCATGCTCCGTTAAAATATTTAGACAATATTAAATCACTATCAACAAGAATTCAGAGACTAAAAAGTAAAATTATAGACTACAACATAACAATTAAATATAGAAAAGGACTCTTAAATCAAGTATGCGATGCTATGTCCCGAAATCCAGTGTTTGAACCACCCACTATAGAACAAGAAATACAAAAGGATAATGAACTGACAATTTGCACAGTAAAAACTATTAATATACACCTGGAACAATTACGTGATGATACATATGCAAATATTATTAAAGCAATACAGAACCCAGAACTTTCAGCCCATATATGGATAAGAAAATCAAAAAATTATTTTATAAATGAAAACCAAATACTCATGTATAAACATTTAGCTAAGGGGCAATCTATAAATTTAATAGCATTACCAGACAACCGTAGAAATGAAATTTTAAACGATTTCCATGATCACCCTTTATCAGGACACTTAGGCATAGACAAGACATACAATAAAATTATTCAACGATATTTTTGGCCCACTATATGTATATAAAGACGTACGCAAATATGTAACATCATGCATTAGTTGTCAAAAAAGGAAATCGGATAAAAAAGCGACCTATGGTCAAATGCTAACATCACCAAAAATTATTGGTATACCATTTCAACGA